GTACAGGTCATGCGATGCCGGCGCGTTAGGTATGCGCATAACTTTATACGCTTTATGTTAATACTACTATTTGAAAACATTTGTGTAACACACTGTCGTGATGTGGCCATGGCGGGCAGCTAAGGCCCCTAATTTACATTTCTTATTATTATTGCTATTATTATTTAAATATTACCTCTTTTGTAGGTTAATATAATCCATAGAGGTTTTCTATAAATAAAGTTATAGCAAACAGTTGTACGACGAGTGCATGTCCCAGACGGGAAGGGAGCAAGATCCGCGGCAACGGCACCGGTGCCATCCATTACTTTGCACCGTGCAAGCCGATCCGTCAACATCAACCCTGCTTTACAATCATATCAAACACTAAACGAAGAGAAGAATTTAATTAAGAAGCAATCAAACATTGAGCTCCATGTAAAGAGCTCAAACCGATCGCAGTCTAATTCATCGCAGGGGCATCGCAGCGGAGTTCCGTTTCACATTATTAGCGATGCGACGCCACGGCCGATCCGTTATTACATTACGTAATCGGCCTTCCGCATCGTTAATTATAACTGGAGAAGCACCAGGGGTTTCGCGCCTTTCCACCTCCACGATTTTTTTGCAATTTCGTGCAACTAGTCCAAACAGGTCGCACAGCCACATTAATAATTTTTATAATTTCGGAACTATATAATGAAGCAAGGTCAGTCGGAGCAATGAGAACAATTACCTACTTCGAGGAAACTGGTAGCCACATCTTAGTCGCCATCGATATTATACTGTGTGTGGAGTGCAGCGTCAATGTTTGTGCATAACTTCGGGTCAGTCGCGCAGTTATTCGGAACGCACTTATGGTATATATATTTTTTGACACCAGTCATCATTACACAACAAGCTCGTTGACCTCGAGGACTCCGGTAGTGAGACGACGAAGCAGATAAAGTTTTAATATTCATTTTGATCGAATCTCTTGGCGCATACTGGGTATAAATGTTGATGAACTAACGCATTTATCTCGACATATTGTTAAGGGAATCAGCTTTACATATCATATTTGCTTTATACGAGTACTTCTTAACATCTTTCCAAATTGAATAATCTGCTGTAGCACAGAAGACCCGAGTGAAGTGGAAGTGGCCCATTTTGTTGATTGCTAAAAACCCGTCCTCTTGAGGTAGCCGGGGCCCACTTTATTTAAAGGTGACAATGCTTTTGTAACCCCGCGGGTGTTGCAAATGTCCATGGGCTGCGGCAATCACTTAACATCGGGTGAACTGCCAGCTCGTTGCCCACTGTTGTCACATAAAAAAACAATTATAATATTATAATTATTAACACCATTCGGTGATGACTGACTAGACTTAGAAAACAATCTGGGCTGTGCATTTGGATTATTGAGTTGGATTAAAAACAAGCGTAAATCACTCCCTCAAAATTCCCGAGTTACTGTTGAGGGCTGATCAGCCGTTTCTCAGATTAACGCGAACTAAAAAGCGGATAGCAATGTAAATATCACGCGAGGGGAGAGACAAAAAATACATAATTATTTCTTAATTTTAGACATTTCATTTTCGTCTATGTTTCTCACAGATTTATGACATTTTTAAATAATACATCATTTACTTTTATGCTTGTCGATAACACCTAAAAATACTTTACGGTTTATTAAAAGATGTTTGTGAAGTATCACAGCATAGTTTAGAATTGGAAGAATGTACGTTGCTATAAGGTGTTGCGACACATACCAATATAATAATAACGGGGACAGGTCGTAGCTGAGAGTTCGTTGAGGAAGTAATTAGAATATTTATTAGACGACTGCATCGTGTTCGTAGGCAAAGCGCACGGGCCCAATGTCGGCCTTCGCTCGGGAGATAACTGGTCGGACAGGTCTGCTCCCCGGTTGGGGTCTAGAGGCGGCCTCACGACTCAACCGCGGAAACTGCGCCTTGGCTCCGATTACGGATGCCTTTGATTCGTAAAGAGAATAAACGTAATTTTTCCAGAATAAGTTTTTAGTTAACTAATTGTGTAAAAACTGACTTTTATACTTAAACGGAAAGTCGGAACAATCTTGAAATATTGAAGTGTCGCGATGTTTGAGTTTAATTTCCAAACCTACAGGAAGTTGATAACCTTGAGGGGCCAAGCCCTGTGAATCTTTATACTTGCATATAGTCTACGGACTAACATTATCAACAAAAAGCTAACGACACCCAACCATCTTACGGTTATTGGATGTTTCTTTATTTCACTATTCTCGCGGATCAACCTTCCAAAAGATTGGAGTAAAATGAAATGTGATCACAGACTTCAGACTTTTTCAAACGTCGGCAGAATTTTCTATCGACGACCCGAATGGCGTAGTGGGTAGTGTACCTGCCTTCTGCGCCAGAGGGTGTGGGTTCGACCCCTTGCTGGAAACTATTGTGTGATGAACATAGTGTTTTTCTAGTGTCTGATTGTTATATAAAAAAACCTTTTTAACTTATATAGTATAATATGTATTTATTTACAAAAGAAAAGTATGTTTTTCAGTTATGGGTACTAGCCCATAGTACAAGCGTTGCTTAGTTTGGGACTAGAGAACGTGGTGTAAAAATTTGTCCCACATTTATTTGTTATACTTCCTTCAACAAATCTCTACCAGTATAAAGGACAGAGTTACAGATAAATATACATTATGCAAACCAATGTTGCACCAAAGAGCAGGTGTGTCCGGAGGAGTACCACAGGTCTACCAAAGACTGGCTAGCCACGGGGGGAGAGGTGTATCGGTATTGGGATACGCCGTTGTCCATTTCTGGAAAAATCCTTTATGAGTCCCCTGCCACCGGATCGAGGAGGGGCAGGGGTATGTGGGAATCCTACCGGGTACCAACTAAAAACCCACGTTGCATCTGTCTCTGTCGCATCAGCCGGGGACATGGGAACACGAAGATCAATCTCCCGCAACCCCGGCCCGACAGCCAGTCCGGCTAAATAGTGCAACAGGTACCTCCCGAAACAACTATGTCGTGAGAGGAGCTGCGTCGCACAGTAGGTGAGGGTGCCGTGTCGCCTGTCCAGCCGCCACCTGGGGGCAGGACGAACGAGGCGAGCGGGGGAGGTTTGTTGCATATTAGGACTAGATCTCCTGGCTCCCATGACCTCGATATGCACCTGGGTGGAACATCGCGGGGGTTTTAATCGTCGCGAGTACGACATCGTATGCATAGGCATTTCCTAATATGACGTGATAACAAAAAAAAATGTGTATAGGGGTTACATATACAAAAAAAATTAAAAAGTTGACCAGCATGAAGTGTTGTGTCGTGTTATACTTCTGCGCTTCGTCTGTGATTGAGGTGCCCACTTCATTAGAAGGCGGGTACCTCCATGCATTGGCAGTTCCACGGTGCTGCAGATGTCCATGGGCGGCCATGGGCTATCACTTACCGGGTGAACCGTCTGTTCCCTTGCCACCTTTTAACATAAAAAACTCTTCGAAATACTATTTTTTGTTATCACGACGATGTCCTTCACCGCTGAGCGTGCGATGAGTCAGCGTTTAAATTTAACAATTTTATTGGTGCTGGAAGCTTTAGGACTGAACTGGGCACTCTTTAAAAATTTTGGGATAGCATCTACGACATAATAACACTAAAACCCACGAGTGTTGTAGTCTATGGAGGACGGTATTCCTAAGATGAGGTGAATCGCCTGCTCGTTTTCAATGTATGCTTGAACACCGTTTGTTTATTTCATTTTGTTTGTGATAAAATTGCCTTTAACCTGGCCGTTCTTATAGCTATGACAAATATATCCACTCCTGTAAAGGAGGTTTTACACCTCTCCGTTCCTCGTTTTGGAAAGCTGAACGCACGATACCAAACAACAAGAGGGCGTCTTGGATAATCTGACCCAATGAGACAAATCGGTCGATTCGCTCATTATGTGACGGTGTCGCTAGGGCATATCGAACGGGGCACAGATTAAATTTGATACACTTTGATCTAAATACTTATCAAACCAGCGGGCGCGGGGCAAATATATATATTGTATGGAAATGAAAAATAAATATAAAAAGCTATTCGATGAAATTATAGGCCGTGGAAAATTAAAATTTTTGAGTTTACTTATATGTATTAAAATAAAACTATTTAATAAAGGTATTTTATATGCGATATGTTTGTTCTTTAGTTTTTTCACTGCTTTTGTATAGGCGGCCTATCTTTCATTTATAAATATTCAGATTTTTTTTTATTTCGTACAAATTATTATTTCATATTCACTGTTGCACGAATAAACAGGTCCGTCCGGGTAAGTACCACGACCTCACCAAAGACCGGCGTAAAGTAGAAGTGTTACACTTCTGCGTTTCGTCTGGTGTGTGAGGTAGCCGGGACCCACTTTATTGAAAGGTGGAAACGCATTTGCAACCATACGGGTGTTGCAAATGTCCTATGGGCGCTTGGGTAACATCAGGTGAACCATCAACTCGCATGCTACTTTCGCACATAAAAAAAAATAAATTAAGCAAATGTCAAAAAGTTGTAAAGAGCATTTTAATGTTCTTTTTGTCTTAATTTTAAAGATTTCCAAAATAGTAAATTTAATTAATTTTTCACTTCATCAGGTATAAGTAATTTTTAAATCAAGCGGTTGATAATACATTTTTATATATTTAAATACTTAAAAATTCCAGAAGCTGAAATGTTTACATCACTCATCAACAAACATAAATAATAAATGGACTACAGGAAAAATAATTTTAAAACTTCTTACATTTTCTACAATTTAAAAAAAATCATTACATTCATAATTCATTGTTCTTTTGTCTATGACACTGAAAAAGGTTAAAACCATTCAAAGCTTTATAAAATTTGTAGAATGGGTATGCAATATTTGTGACTTATTGATGGTTAATATGGTTCTTACAGAGTTTAGTGCCAATTAATTACGTGATATTAAAGTCTGAACGTATTAAAAATTAAATTAGAATCGGTATTTTGTAACATGAACATCCACAGTTAAAGGCCCCTAGGGGGGGCTTGGCGGGGCGATCGCCACGCGCAGCGGTACAGGCCCGAGGCCAGCAGCGAGCCGCTCAAGGGGCCCGCCCAGTACACCTGCGAACACTTTCGCGTCACTTTCCGACACTAACACTCCTGTCTCATTTAGGGTTTAAAACACATTCAATACATTTTTGCCGTAGGTCGGTCAAGCCCTTCATCGTGCCACAAAGTTACTAGAGGCGCGTCAGTAATCAAATTACTCATCAATTCGTTGTCACGGACCACAATTTACTGTTAATTTTTTCTTATTGCGAATGGAATTTATGTTAAAAACAACTAAAAATGGTTGTGACAAAACAACAAAGTTCATAACCTTTGTGACATGTCACAATGAGGCCTTGGAGCTGGCGATGTTAAAGAGGGGATCACTCACCTAGAGGTGAGGCGTATTTATCGTAACAGGTAAATATAATATATAAGGTATTTCGAGATAACAGACTGTGTATATGTGTACTGTGATAACAGAATAAATTTAAGTAACTGTTCCTGTTCCACACAAATTGCTCCATAACACGGCGTCACAATCTTTTCTTTATTCATGCTACAACGTTTACCTTAGTTAGAAAGAGATAAAAACTGTTACATCCTGTCACAGTTACTGAACACTGTCACTATCACAAGCTGTTTCTTTTATTGCATGGATCATATAGCATTGTTAGAAAGAGAAGTACGGACTTTACCATCGAGTAACAAACTGTAACAGTTGTTACAGTACTCTATGGTGACAGTTACACAAATTGTCACAACATAGTATGAAATAATAGGCTGTTATTTTGTAACAGCTATTTGTCACTGTAACAGGAACCGGTGTAACATGTACTTGATTTAACCTAGTGTAGCTCACTTGTACACTCACCCAATGCGCGCTCCAGTCGCCGCTGAAGAGCGCTGGCGCCAAACTGCGCACGGGGTTCATACTGGCGCCGGTCAGCTCGCCCTGCAACGTATGGTTAGGTTCCGTTAGTTGATTTGTGAAATATATCAATATTAAACTTAACTACTTTCAAATTTCCTTGGTATATGTAACAATTATATTTTGTCAAATAATTGTAATTTTAAAAGAACGATTTAGACACGGAGCGGTAAGGGGTAAACGGTACCAACATATTAACCGGCCCGACTGTCAACCTCACCTAAGTAAGAATAGCTAGCGGCGACGGCTAGAAATGGTCGTCGCGGTGCTCCCTGCTAGACAACGGACGAGGCTCTGGCGACCGAGTATCTGGCAACGCTTATACACGGGCTTAAATTACCTGTTGTGTGGATAAAAACATCTTATCCTAGGGGTTTTCCTGCTTTTTACATCTAGTAGGTTTTTGTGCGCCAGATGGCAATCGGCACTAGACTAATAAACTACCTAGGCAGACTTTTTGGTGGAGTCTTCGAAAGAAAAACATTCCCGAAATTTACGTCGTCATCATAGCCGACATGTATGAGAATGGGCGATCAGTAGTAAGGACTACGGTGGGACATACAAAGCCAATAGCGGTTACGGTTACACCAAGGTTCTGTGCTCAGCCCTTACGTCTATTGCTTGGTCATGGATGCAATTTCGGAACATGCTCAATCTCTTGCTTCCTGGACTTTTATATACGCTGACGATGTAGCTGTATGTCCAACATCACGTGAGGAACTGGCAAAAACCCAAGAAGAGTGGAAGAGCGGCAGTTAAAAGCAGGTGGCCTAGTGCACAGATTTCAGTAGCCTGGCTTAAATGGACGGATGTCTATGACAAAAATGCCTGGCAAGCTTAAGGGGCCAGTATATAAGTCCATGATCAGGCCAGTTCTTACGTATGGAAGCGAAACGTGGGCCGTGATACGAAACCAAATCTATACCATACAAGTAGCAGAGCTAAACATGCTACGGTGGATGTGCGGTGTGACGAGACTCGACAAGATACGCAACGAGTACGTGCGAGGAAGTCTCGGAGTCCGTGACATCGCCGACAAGCTCCAGGAAAGTAGACTGCGAGGGTATGGACATGTGCAACGTCGACATCCGCGGTTCCCAGAAACGAGGAAGCAAAAATAAGATGGACAGAGGTACTGAGAATAGATCTTAACGCCTGCAATATGACCCATGACGATGCGATGGATAAAGTGAAGTGGAAGCGAAAGACAGGAAAGGCAGACCCCACTACCGTGTGGGAACAATAAATGCACTGGAGAGAGAGAGATTGAGACACGGATAACATCGAATGACGCGTGCAATTAGAATTGAACTTTGCGGTTTCAAAGTCGTAACAGACACGTCGCCACGGCAACGATAGGAAGGTGTTCGGAGTCGGCGTACCGCCGCGAGCGAGAGCGCGGCGACGGTGAGGCCGATGCGCAGCGGCCAGGAGTCGAGCAGGCGGCGGTTGGCGGCGTCCCAGGCGGCGCAGTTGGCCAGCGCCAGCAGCGCGCCCAGCAGCGCCTCGAGCGCGGCGGCGCGCGACGTTGCCACTCCGGCCGCGGGCGCGGTGCGGCAACACGCGGCCGCGGCGGGCGCCAGCGCGTGCAGCGCCGCGCCGCCGGCCAGCGCACCCGCCAGCTGCGCCGCGCAGTAGGCCGCGCCCTTCGCCCAGCCCACGCGGCCGCACACCGCCGCCGCCAGCGTCACCGTCGGGTTCATCATCGCGCCCGAGATGTGGTCGAAGCACTGCGGGTCGGTATAGGTTTCGTCTAATGCAAAGCTGTCATAGGGGAATGGACAAGTGCGACCCCAAAAATACTGCTTTCTCACAGAAGATGGCCTTGAATTGGAAACTATTATACTTCTGCGTTTCATCTGCAACTAGGTAACCGGGGCCCAGTTGGCCCACGGGTGTTACGGATGTCTATGGGTGGCTATCATCACTTAACATCGGGTGGAGCGCCAGCTCTGTCGCCACCCTCTCACATTAAAGAACTAAAGACCGCAGCGATGCAGCGAGTGGCGCGGGAGCGGTCACCTGCACGAGCGTGGCGACTATGAGGCCGCCGGCGAGGGCGCGCTGCAGCGGCGGCGCCTCGGCGCAGGCGGGCAGGCACGTGAGCAGCACCAGCAGCGCGGCGCCCACCGCCTCGGCCGCGCACGCGCCCCACCACGCCGCGTCCGCGCCGCCCGCCCCCGCCACGGCCCCGCACAGGCTCTCGCCCTCGCCTTCCTCGGCGCCGAACGCACGCTTCGAGTCGCCCGACACGTGCCCTGCAATCGTTTCCCGCCAATATAACCTTATTACACAACTGTTACTACATAACGTCATTTGAAACTGTTGGTGTGCTAAACAAACAACTGTTGTGTGCCGTTGGTCGCTTAAAACGCAAAAAAAAGTTATTTATATAAAAACCGTTGAGATTTTCGTCGGCCTGACAATCATCCGTTTAGATTAGTGTTTAAAAAGTCTGGGCGTGATTCGGAAAAATGCGGGTTTCATTCCCGTCGGATTAAAAAAAACTTTTCGCCCGTCTGTTACACGACAAATGTTAATATTAAATCACGGTTTATTTTTGTGAAAAAAAGCCGTTTACTCGTCAGGGAAGAGGAACAAATACCAAGTCAGAGACGTAAAATCATAAAGACATAGATTCTACTGCATTTACAGCTCAATCAAATGTCAAGTTAAAAGAACAAGAAATAGAGTCCACAGAAAAAAAAACATAAACGAAAACATTAGAAAGAAGAAACGTTTTTCGCGGTCAAATCACAATGGATGTATACAAAACATATTAAATAATGTAACTACACAGTATACATCTAAAGAATATTGGAAAATTTTAAAATGTAAACATAACAACAAAAACAAAAAAATAATAAGTGAAGGTCTGTGTAGCAGCATAAGATCCTGAAACGAACGGGACTCAGTGAAAGTCGAGATACAGAAACTAAAATTCATTCAAATTCACTCGGACGACTACGTTAGTGCAGTTCCCATAATACTTCCAATAGAACGCGGAATAGCGAAAATTAAATTATTCTTGTTTAGACCTTTCATTTATATAGTGGATATCATTCGTCTGATAAAGGTAAGTAAAAATTAAAGTTGATGTTTTCTTTTTTAATATTATTTAATGGTTTACAAGCAAATACAATCTGTACTTGTTCTTTAAACCCACTAACTGTTTTCAGGTCACACAGAGGAGGCGGGAGGTTGTTCCAACACTTAGTGGCATTGTATTTGAAACTGTCTCTAAAAGCGGCCGAACGGTAGAAAGGATAAACTAACTTATAATTAGATGATCTCGTATTATACATCTCAATTTGATCTTATCCCAAGTTGATTTGGGATTGTAAAGATATAAGCGCTCTTTGTTTCTAATAATCCTAAATAAAAGAGGCGAAGTGTAATCGCCTGCGGAGGTCCATCTAGGGTATTTGCGTTACATGTGCACGTGGTGGTATATTAAAGCAGAAGCGTCCACAGGACCCTCTGTATTATTTGCCTGGTTCGTGATAATAGACGTGGGCCTAAGACAGAATTCGCATAATTGAATTTTGAAAGTACGAGAGACTCGCTCAGATTTATACGTAAGGGAACACTTAGGTAATCACGAATATGATAGAGTACTTTCAACCTGTAAAATCACGTGCAATACCCATAATATGCTTCTCAAAACGCAGTTTGCCGTCCATTACTACCCCCAAAATTTCTGACTTCCACTCTTACAATCGATTCGTTGTTTACAAAAATGGCAGAGTGACTTGGTTTGATCTTTTTTATTTTATTTGGCGATCCTTGTCTGATCAATCGATCAAATACTGGGTCGTCTTTGGATTAAGAACTAGTGCGCTACGCGGTGACCACAAAGATATCGGACTTAAATCCTTATTTCACTTTGCTACTGCTGCGTGAACATCGTGAGGCTTAAATGTAATATATAATGTATCTGTAAATCGTCAGCGTACATGTGGTACTTACAATACTCAATATTTTTAATAAATCTGCATCTATATATCGGTCTGCACTATAAATTATAAAAAGTAATGGAACTAAGATGGATCCATGTGATTCCTTGTTATGTAGTTTTGTCCCTTCCACTTAAGTGCATTCCAACTCGTTGTGAATATCTATCTTTAAAGTAACTGGCAAACTGGAAGTAATGGAATATTTAGGGTTTCAAACGCGCGTGAGAAATCAAAGTAACAGCCATAAATACATGTCTCACTGCTGGGCAAAGGCCTCCGCTATAGAGAGGGTATCAGGGCATAGTCCACCACGCGGGCCCACTGCGGATTGGCGGACTTCACATATCTTCGAAATATATTTTTTGTTGTTATTATTTCGAAAATATGCAGGTTTACTCACGATGTTTTTTCCTTCACCGCGGAGCACGTGATAAGTCATCACTTAAAGTTAAAAACTTGATTGGTGCCGGCACCGGGGATCGAACTCAGGTTGCTCGAGTATATTGAATTAAAGGCGAGCGCCCGGACGGTGAGAAATCAAGTAGCGTTAAAATCGTACCTTCCCTACTCGCCGGTGAAGTCAATATATAATCTAAGACCGCTGTTAGTACAGTGCTAGTGCTGTGCTTTTTTCGGAAGCCAGACGGCAGCTTAGGAAGGATATTATTTGATTCGAGGTACTCTGTGAGTTGATTACGTTGTTACGCTTAAATAAAAACTTGAATAACATGCTCACATAAAATGTAATTATACATAACTATTAAATATTTCATCTCTTTTTAATATTTATTAAAGATTAAATTCGGGTAATTTACTGAATTAATCGTGATCTAGTGAAACAAACATAAGGTATGCCGAAACGGTATCGGTATCACACATCATCAATGGGATCGAATTCATGTTCATAACGTAGTAGTTAATAAAACATTTAATGGTGGCAGGGCCACGCAGCAGCTTGGGCGGCTGCACGAATGGACCTCACAGAAGACCGGCGTAAAGTGGAAGTATGACTAATACTTTCGCGTTTCGTCTGGTGAGTGAGGTAGCCGGAGCCCAATTTTCAAAAGGTTGTCAACGCATCTGCAAAACACCGGGTGTAGCAGCTGTCCATGGGCCACGGTATTCACTTAACATCAGGTGAACCAACTGTTCGCTTGGCAACTTTTCACGTAAAAAAAAGGCAAAGAAGTAAAGACATTCGAAGAATAAACTGAAGAGGCTTTGAATCCATAATAGCTGAGAATCGGTTAAAACATATCAACACGTAAAACATTGAAGATTGATTTTATTTCCATTCTCTGTAATGGATACAGAAATAGAACAATTTGTTAATACATTATTCTAGTGCCTTTTGTCTATTTTATTCTAGTGTCTATTGCGAAAAAATTGCATGCCATTGAATCTGATAGGGATTCAGATAGTAGTTACAGGAGATTGCATTAATGACAGCGATGTCTAGTGTAATGCCCTTACATTGTACACATTGTAAGCAGTATCTTTTGCAATTGAAAAGATAAAAAAAATTGTGACATGATTTGTATATTTTATTTCTTGTTGATTTTTATGTTTATTTTATTTTATGAAAACTTAATGAAAATTTGACTTAACAAATTTTCATTAAGTAATTCTTGATTTCACGTTTTATAAAAATGTTTAGTGACTAAATACTTAAATGCATTACTTTTATATTAAGACTAAATATTTAATACATAAATTCAATACAAGTAAGATCCTTACGCATAATGTATATATATTATCGGAATCTCGGAAACGGCTCCAGAGATTTTCATGAAATTTAATATATGCGTAGATTCGGGGGCGAAAAATCGATCTAGCTAGGTTTCAAAAAATATCATCCGAATATGACGGTAAATTTCGCCGCAAAAAAAATTTTATAATAGCTATTTTTTTCTCTTTTTTTTCTATACCAGATCATTTCTTTCTTTGTTTTTTATTTCCAAAATACATGGTTTACCAAAAAAAAAAACGACCAAAGCTCGGTCCACCAGGTACTGATGTTTGTTATAGATGACGCATGTCCATACTGCGTGGCTTTAAGAATTGTTCCGCTTTATATCGAATGACATATATAAGTGAATGTGACAGATGATATAGAACGTATGATACGGAAAGAGATAGGAGTCTATAGAATTGCAATCTCATTACACCAATTAGTGTAATTTTATTGTCTCAGTTTCGGTGCGTTAGTGTCACAATTATCTGCCTCTTATTTGTATATAATATCATTTCCTCAAACAGCATACATGAATCGCTACAGAGCATTCTGTATAGTGGCCACGGGCTGTAAAAAAGACCTACGTATGCCGTCACTGAAAACAAAATGTCCAAATAAATTAATCTACTCAGCACCCAGCAAACGTATCAGAGAAACATCGAGTACATAGCGACCGAACCTCAATGACACAAGGTACACCCGCGTTCCAGGGCGGTTCTCACCGCATCCAGCCACCGATTAGCTAAAAACACAGTCGACGGCCATTGGGGTCTCGGTCCGCACCGCAACTTCGATGGCCCTTAGATGACATGTCGTAGTTAAACGCACGCATGAGCACATGCGCGCCCCTACCCACAGCGGAGGGCCCAAACCCGTGGGTTCTGGCTAGTCCACCGGTTCTGCGTCAGATGAAGCTTTAATAGTCTCGGGACTGAAAGCAAAAACATCAGTTAATACAAGATACAAGGAACCTCAATGCGAACGTTCCGAAACGAAAACAAACAACGTAGACACAAAGTAAGCCTGCGTTCAGAGGTGGTTTTCACCGTCCTCAGTCAATGACATCATGGTCCATTTATTTTATATTTAGATGTTATGAAACATCTAAATTTAAAATATAATCTAAATATTTATATATTATACCCCGTGCAATTTTTGTTTGTAAAACGTCCTTACAACACAGGATAATGTTATCCTAAAGTGAGGGCAATGTTAAAAAAAAACTTATCTCAAAAAGTGTGTGATTTATACGCAACTCATTTATTTTACGCGCGATCATTCATAACTAACACGCACACAAGTTCGTGCACAGTAAAATTTAGGTATTTATGAATGACTACCGCATTGTCAACACGTTCTGTTTTTTTTTTAATAGAATGGCATTTTTTTTGGAAAAAAAGCTTTGTTTTTATTTCATTAAATGATTATACTACCGAGTCTGGAAAAAAAATCCTCCTGTGTAAATTTAGGCACTTCTCAAAAAATCTCCCTGTATAACAATTTATATGATATCTTAGTATGTGCCTCCTAAAGAATTATATGGCATGCTCATATTTTCAGTGGAAAAAGAAATATTTATTTTAAGTATCGTATCGTAAGAGTTGTGACGTACGGTGATTTCTAATTTCATTCTTTATATCTCATTATTTAAGTGTTTGTACCATTTAAGTAGTTAATTATCAAAATACTGAGGTACAGTAGTATTTTAGAAAAAAAAAAATATTTTACACATATTATTCAACCTAACAAAACCAAAACTAACCAACGTAAACAAAAAAAGAGAAGAAAAAGTTATGGCTGCCGGCACGAGTAAAAACTCAAACCTCGTATACCTGTTTTTTTTGTAAATTTTTAAATGAATTATGGTTTTAATAATAAAAATAACAAAACTCTAAATTGCAAAATTTATATGTCAATAAAATAAAAATTCAATATATATGTGTATACTTATTTACAAAAAACAAATAATTTATCCCTTGCCCGTACCAAATCCAAATCATTTATTCATCGAAATAAGAAATATACATTTCATTTATCGATAGTAATTTTTTAATCTACCACCGTTTCGTAATGAGGTTCCTCTAGCGGAGAAGAAACAGGCGAAAGAAACTCCGTAGATATCCTCTTTTTTGTCATTTTTTTTTACTCAACAAATACATAGTTATTTTTTTTTTAGAAATAGCTTAGGGGCGATCATCTCATACCTATTTTTATAGACCTTGAATGCAACCGATAACTGTTAAATAACTTGTAATTATAGGTAAATGTCAAAAATTGGTTATTGGTTGCCATGGTAATACCGTGAAGTTGGTCACTTTTTTACCAACGTAACCATGTAAAATAGTTTTTTTTTTTAAATGTAAACTTCATCCTCATCATTTTTACTGTTACAGGTTGATAATGTTTATCTTCATTAGAAACGTCTGTATAGAGAATATGAACCCAGTAATTGGTATATAACTACCTACTTATAATAGATATTACTTATCACCTCAGATTTATGTGAAGGAGAGAAGAAGAAACCGTTATTTGAAATAAATATTTTAATGATCAATTACAATTTTATTATCAAAATCAGTAATCATTTTTGTAAAATTCTAAATCTGAAAATTTTTTTGTAGGTATGCAAAATTTTGAGTAGGGTTTCAATGATCCATTTATCAGTAAGCTATTTGTATAACTTATCCAGGTTTACAAAACGATGTTATCTGATTAAGATAAAACACTCTCAGCAAATATGTTTTGATAAATCTGGAACACTTTAAGTATTTCATGGCTGTTTAATAATACCTAGTTTTAATATTTAACTTATGTCTAATAAACTTTATTATAAATTTTTTTTATTATCAAAAATACGATTAAGAAAGAGGTAATTCTATACAATATGGCCACGCGCGTTATTCGTTTACAAATATTTTTAATCGATAGAGAAAAATTATTGAAATAATTAGTAATAAGCGGAGACAAATTTGGGGAAAAAATATTTTATGCGACATCGCGATTTTTTAACGAATTTTGTGCATAACGTAATGGCGGACTTACGTAGTATTAAATTGTGAAATTAATTACTAATCTTAGCGCTTTTTTTTAAAGTAAGTTTAATTAAACATGGGCATGATTTGACTTACAATTATATCACAGAAGTCATCCCGCTCACCATGATGAAGGATCTCCCCATAGGTCCGAACTAGTCGGTACAGAGTTCCGATTCTACCGAGTCTATATTCTGACAGGTATCGGAAAGGGCTATCCGTTTTATTATTCCGTCAATAATGACTCAAGAAAGTTTTAATAATTTTACAAAAATGACTAATACGTTCTAAATGTTAAGACAATCTTCCTATATCGTTTTAAAACTAATTTCATTGCCGTTACTAGTACTAGTCATAAATTAAATTTTAAAAGTATTAATCAACTTTCACAGTAATTTGAAAACATAAAATGTTCTCACCTGCTCCAAAAGCTAACATAAAATTTGAACAGAATTTTAATGCACAAACTTACTACTGATTGTAACTGATGTCGGCTCCTGATCGTTGACCATGTTGTCGCCAAACTAAGACACTCGTCAGTTAATGGCTCATGGCAGTTAAATACATATTTTTAATTTTAAACGAACCCGACCGTACAGACAACAGCGAAAATTAGTCAGTTTTATTCATGTAAATGTAGATAAAGTTCGCGTCTTGTTTTATATCGTAGACATTATCAAGTGAGTTACGACTTAATTATGTTTGTCGAGAAGTGCGTGGCGCGTATTTTGTGCTACTCGTCCGACAAAGGTTGCACCTGTCGCTAGATTTCTGCGAGCCGTGATGGACTAAACTACCGTTTGATGTGTTCAAGCGAGTAATAAGTTTGCATTTGTCATCGCCACATGTAATTTTCACTACCCGTATGTGGCGTGGCGGGTACACGATAGGCGTCATCGCAAATATGATTTGACTCATAGCGTTAACTCATGAAATGAAACGACCGGTTCGCTCGTGATATTATCTTTAATGAATGCTCATCAGAGGCGCGCGAGGTGCGCGTGGGCGTGGGCCTGTGCGTGGGCGTGGGCGGGCGCGTGGGCGTGGGCGTGGGCGTGGGCGTGGGCGTGGGGCGCGGCCAGGTCGAGGTCGCGGCGGCGCGCGGCGAGGCGCGCGTGCAGGTAGCGCGCCACGGCCTCGGGCGCCCACGGCTGCGCGAAGAAGGCGCCGCGCCGCTCCTCCTCGGGGTTGCCCGCGCCCCCCGCGCCGCCCCCCGCCCCGCCCCCCAGCGCCTTCAGGTCGCGCGCCTGCGAGACCAGCCAGCGCTGCACGAACTGCTGCGGCTCGCGGCTGAAGCTGAGGAAGAACTCGCGGTTGGTCTTGAGCTGGTTGATGGTGTCCACGGTCTCGTGGATCTTGGCGTCGAGGCCCTGGATCTCCTGCTGGTTGGCCGTGCTGAGCAGGAAGTTGTTCATCTGCGTCTTGAGCGTGTCGTCCACCTCGACGTCGATGTCGTAGCAGGCCGTCTGCTTGGCGTCGTGCGGCGGCTCGACGGCGATCACGTGGTTGATGACGATGGGGTCTGGCGCGTGCAGCAGCGCGCCCAGCCGCGCCGGCACCTCGGCCAGCTTGAGCCGCGCGCAGCCGAAGATCTGCTCCAGGTACTTGTCGCACACGACGAACTCCCTCTCGTGCGCGTCCTGCAGCCGGTGCGTCTTCACGTACTGCCACAGCGCGTTCACGATCACGGGCCGCGCCTGCGTGTGCACGCCCAGCAGCCGCGCCAGCCGCTGGTCCAGCTTGAACTGCAGCGGCTGGTAGTCCAGCAGCAGCAGGATGGTGCAGCGCACGTTCTTGTAGCCCGGCCGCTTCACCTGGAACCCGTCCGTCTCCTGCGTGGTCAGCGTGCGGTGCCACTCCACCAGGTGGTTGTCCGGCCCATACAGCTCCTTGTCCAGCTCGATCACCAGCGACTTGAAGAACGACGAGAACTTCCGCTTCACCTGCGGAAAATTCCAATCATCACTCCGTCCCCCCGCGGTAGCGAGAGATCGCGGACGTGAGATCGTTTCTGGACTACCTTATTGGGATCGTTTTTGGAATCGTCGAGCAAACGCCCCTCCACTCGCAACTCCCAGGACGCGACGGCGTTGTCGCCTTGCCCTGTGGGAGTACAACAGAGGCGGTGAGAGTCGGATGGCATGCGGCGTTCGGCCCGCGGACGCAAAGACGAAGCGCATAGCCTAAAGACCTGGATAGAAGGTGTTGGAGATGAAGATGCGCAGCTTGCGCTTCTGCTTCATGGGGCGCTTGAGCGCCTCCTGGATGTCGAGGCGCTTGCGGTGGATGGTGGCGTCCAGCTTGCGCTCGAAGGCCAGCAGGTCCATGTAGGCCTGCGACTCGGGCACCAGGTCGCGCACCTTCTGCGGCAGGATCTTGTCGGCCAGACGCTTCTTGCGCTTCGCCGGCGGCCCGGCCCCGCCCGCGCCCCCGCCGCCGTACGCCTCCCCTCTGCACAAACGGACTCAATGTTCTGTTGAACCAAGTGCGTTGATAATCTTTATTTAAGAGAAGGATGGCTTTCAGATTTCCACTCGATAAATGATACTCAATAAAAGAAATATTTCTCTTGTGTAATTAAACGTGTGGCCCATTCCACTGTTATACATAATGACAAAAACAACATTTTTGACAATTATTTTTAATTGACTTTCCTATATATCTGAGAAACTCTGTTTGCATTCATGGATCGTCCAGCGGTCGGTCCATGCAAAGAATGAGGCGTGTAAGGGCACGTACTGCGCGAAGAGCTGCGGCTTGTGCTGCGGGGGCAGCTGCGAGCGCGTGTCGGGCGGCCGCTTGGCGGCGGGCGGGGGCGCGCGCGGAGGGGCGCCCCCGAAGCCTGCGCCCGCGTAGGGGGCGCGCGGGCCCGCCGCGGCCGCCCCGCCCCCGGCCGCCCCGCCCCCGCCCCCGCCCGCACCCACGCTCGCGCCCCCGGGCCCCGCGCCCGCCGCACCGCCCCCCACCGCGCCGGGGAAGCTGGGCCGCTGCTGTTGCTGCGCGTGTCACACATTACTTTGGTAAGCTTATGATATAAAACGTCAAAAATATAACTAAAATTCCTCACTGGATCTACTCAAAAAAATGGTAAACTATGACTATCATAAAAGGTTGCAACTATTTTACTGAAACAATTATAAGTATATGAGATTGTGAGATAGAAGTATTTTCTGTGCATGCAGTTGATGTATAATTTGTGTTGTAATGTCAACAAAGTTAAAAATTAGATTATTAAAAGTATTACAAAATTCAGAGGATGCCGTGATAGCTCAGTGTCAAGGCGCTGGCCTTAAATTTAATTTACACAAGCAACCTGTGTTTGAGCCCCAGTGTAGGCACCAAATAAATTGTTAATTTTAAGTGCTATGACATATCAAATGCTCAGCAGTGAAAGAAAACATCATGAGGAAACCGGCATATTTTCCGCAGCAATCTGCAGTGGGGCCACATGTTGGACTATGCCCTGATATCCTCTTTACAAAGAAGGCCTTTACACCGATAGTAGTATTTTAACATTCAATAAGTAAGTGTAGTGCTTCTATATTGAATAATTAAATTGAGTTCAATTTGGTAATTGATATCTTCATTTCATCGTTGTTTAAGTAAAAATACTAACATTAAAGTAATTTTTTGTACCTGAACTTAATATTTTTTCCCATCCACTGGTCATTAAATAGTAAACAAACAAAAAAATCTATCTCATATAAAAATCAAACTAATATAATTATGGATTTTTGTACATTTAATTTTAAATTTTGTTCCCAACATTACACTGTGTCCATAATCCTGTGACCATTACACACAAGGAAATTTGTTAATTAGCTTTATTTATATATATAACATACTAAAATTTTACATATTCTATAGTTTTAACATATAAAGGATTTTTGCATCTAAATTAAAAAAAGAAGTAATCTTATAGTATCATAGTAAAAATATGTAATTCAGTATAAGGTGCTTTAAATTTTTAATCACTTTTCTATTTGAATTTCAGTTTTATTGTTGCAAAATATAGTATACCATACAATATAAGTAAATTATGATTATACTGGACAATTCATCATCATCATCATCATCATTTCAGCCCGTTTGAGTCCACTGCTGAATATAGGGCTCCCCCATAGACTGCCATGAAGTACGATCCTGAGCCTCCTGCATCCATCGACTTTCCGCACATTTGCACAGGTTGTCACTCCATCAATTGGGGGGTCATCCCACACTGCGATGGCCAGTATGAGGCTGCCACTCGAGAACCTTTCTTCTCCAACGGTTATCGGTTCTACAAGCTATATGGCCGGCCCATCGCCACTTCAGCTTGCTAATCCTCTGAGCTTTGTCGGTTACCTTGGTTCTACTGCGGATGTCTTCGTTACAAACTCTATCACGCAGAGAAATACCGAACATAGCCCGCTCCATAGCTCGCTGAGCGACTGTGAGCTTCCTCATACGGCCAGCAGTGAAGGACCATGTCTCGGTTCCGTAGGTCATCACTGGCAACACACATTGATTGAAGACTTTAGTCTTCAAACGTTGAGGTATATTTGACGAGAAGATTTGCCGTAGTTTTCCCGAATGCTGCCCATCCGAGTTGGATTCGCCGATTGACCTCTGCGTCGAAGTTGGACTTACCTAGCCGGACTAACTGTCCTAGGTAAATGTACTCGTCAACAACCTCGAGCTCAGTGCTCCCAACAACAACCGGTATTGGCGTGACATGGACATTAGACATGATCTTCGTCTTGTCCATGTTTATCTTAAGGCCCACCCATTGGGAGACACTGTTGAGGTCATTGAGCATAGTACCAAGGTCCTCCAGCGATTCTGCCATGATGACTATATCGTCGGCAAATTGAAGGTGGGTGATGTATTCGCCATTGATGTTAATACCTCGTCCTTTCCAGACAATACAAATATCCATTTACAATAATAACACTAAGGAGAGTTAATTTTGAACTGTATGCCAAAGAAAAATCTTTAGTAAATTTTATATTAAACTTCTAAAAATTGGTTTTCCCCATTTTCAAAGTCCAGTTCACCAAAACAGACCTGAACAGAGAAGAATCGGCAAAAAACTGCGGTTTTGTCTCTTTTTTTTTTTGTGATGCAATTATACAAATTTATTTGGGTATAAAATCAGCAGCAGCCAGGGGTCTTGCAAGAGCAGAGCAAGAGTCATTTCCACACATCCTTGTCCTCAATGTATTCTTGGACATTATAATAGGCCCTTACCATTAGGGTAGCTTTTACAAATTGTTTGAAATTGTTTATTCTTAGTTGGATGTCACCTATTTTATTATAAAAGTTAATGCATCTGTCAAGAAATGACTTTTTGGTTTTAGACAGTTTAAGCCTTGGTACTTCCCAGTGTTACCATGGCCCCAACACAATGTGGAATGATTTTTTTGGAAATAGGTGGATATTATAACATAAATACATGATGTTCTCCAGTATGTAAAGCGATGGGAGCGTCAAAATGTTTATTTGCTTAAATAGATGCGATAGTGACTAACATAGACCCAAGCCATAGACAGCCCATAGTCTGCTTTTGTAATACAAATATTGTGTCTAAACCAGATGCGCAACCCAAAATAAGACAAATTAACACATATTACATTGGATGTGAAAGGAAGAATGAATAAAGCCAGAGTTGCAGGGAGAACACATTATCAAAATCGAGGCCAAGGTTTGCATTCAGATCAAAACCGCACAAAAAAACATATAGCAGCTAACATTATAAATCTAAATGTTGAGATGATTTTGGCTATTGGTTACATCAAAATACATTTCCCATTTGTTAAAAAAATTCTAGCTCTCATAGAAATTTGCATGTTATCTACAATTCTATATTAATAAAATAAATTTAGAGTGAATTATTCATAATTCTCATAAAATCTAAAATGTCAATTCTTTAATGGTAGAGGAACTTACTATACAGTAAATGGTTATAATTTTTATTGCTTAGAAAACAACTGTACAGTGAGCAGTAGGAGATCATAAAATTTATCTCAATAACAGTTATAAGTAAACAATGTGTGGCGGATGAACAATAGATTTCAACATACCGGAAAATTAGGCCCCGAATAAGGTCTTTGCTGCATTGGTGAACCTGGGGGTTGTGCAGGCCCTGGGTATCTTTGCTGAGGTTGCATTGGAACCGGCGGCGGCGCCGCGGGGCTTGGCCCACCGGAAGGAAAGCGTTGCGCCATAACTAGTCAATGTTCTGATAGTACTCAGTATAACTTTATTTCATTGTGTAAGCAAAGTAAAAATTATTGATACAAGTTAGTTAAAACACAGAATGTAGATATTATGCTTTTTAAATGATTTAAATAGAAATATTATGTATGACTCTTATTTGACAGCTTACAATGAGATTGACTGTTGACATAGATACATAAAGGAAAAAACATCATAGATCATAAAAAAGGGACGCTATTTAAACTCTATGGTGTATATACTCTATTTAATTGATAAATGATTTATTTTATTTACGCTATCAGGTTTTCAAAACAGTGCTTGTCTTTGAAGTACAGCGCACTAGTATTTGCTGTTGTGAAGTAAAACTGCTCATTTGACCACTTTCACGTCCTTTTTAACCGACTTCAAAAGGAGGAGGTTCTCAATTCTACTGTTTATTTTTATGTTTGTTACTCCAGAATTTTACTTTTTTTATTTGAAAGCTGGTGCTTCCCATGTGGACCCATATCAATTTCATTGGTATTGGATCTTGGGCTCCGGAGATACTTAGGGAACTCCTAAAAATCTGTTAGGAGAGATAAAGATATTTGTCGGTTTTATTTTTCGTTAATAAAAATAGACTTGTATTATTACAAGTCTATTCTTTATTACAACATAATTATCATTTTAGATAGTTAATATTAATCACATATTCATTTAATATAAATCAATAAATCAGTAATAAATAAGTATACCTAACGGCAAGTGACTGAAATAAAAAAAAATACCAAAAACAAAGGTAGGAACAATCTAAAAATCGGATTTATTAAATACGGTGTTTGACAGGGTAGTCACTTAGGGCTACTAGGTTTTTTATTTTTATTTATTTGCTAAAATTTTTACCCGGATTTTATCGCATTTAATTAAATTTTTAAACTCCCGATTTCGAACCCTTTCCAGCGGTCATGGTCACGGAAGCGAGCGAAGCGAGACCTAACACTATCCCACAACCTGAGCGTTTTTGTAGTACACTTTACTGAAAAGCTATCACACCTATGGATTTGTGCTTTAACATAGTAATTTAACTTCATGTCTAGATGTGTTATCTGTCAAAAAAAAATATATAATTTTATAACCATACAAAACATGAACATTAACAATTTGTTATGGATAGAATGTTATTGTACTACTAACGCCATCTGTTAGAACACCAAAGAGTTAGCATCGATACAACAGAACTAAACTCAATACTCACATCGTAGTTAATGTACTTAATACTAGAATGACACAAATAGAATCAGCAGGCCTACTCCCGACAGATTCGAGTTCTGAATCAATCGAGTTTGACTCGAATTCAAGACAGTTCGTACCACTGCATCTGACGCCAGCGCACAATCAAGCGGTGGCTCTAATTGGAACTAAGATCGAATAATTTTTTTCGGAAAAAATTAAGCAATTAACATTTTATCTAATAAAAGATGTTATAACCGTACACATGGAACATTTGTCTGTGACATAATAGGCCGGATACAGTTAAAGGATTTGATAACGCACGATCTTGTTTCTAGTTTAGATTCGGTTCGGGAGTAAACTTTTCAAATCGAGTTCGAATCAAGAGTGAGTTCGAATCGAAAACAAAAACAAATTCGAATCGAATTTGGGGAGTAAGGCGGCAGGTTGTAAACTAATAATTTTGAAACTGCCCAGAAAAATTTGGTATCAAAACATCATTTTATACTTTCTGTCACAAATTCCAAATAAAAAATGAGTTGAACATATTTTCTATCAAAAATTCCGATCCTGGACCACAATAAATTGTTCAAGTTCACTAGGCTATTACGGTAAGAATATCGATTTAAACCCTTTAAAGTTTCCGCCTTGCCATGGCGGAGGGTTAGTAGCTGTGGCTTTTTCACCAAGCACGAAGCTAAGTGGAACCCATACTGAGCTGGTCTGTCGTGCAAGGCCGGCCCGACAGGGCTGCTCCGAGTGGGCTCATTGAGCCCACTCTGTATGAAATGGGTGCAGGCGACATGAAGTTAAATTACTATGTTAAAGCACAAATCTAAAGGCGTAAAGTGTACCACAAAAATGCTCAGGGCGCGGGATAGTACCAGCAAAAACCCGTTTAGCTCAGGCTAGAGCGTCAGGCCGCGAATGCCGAAGATGTGGGTTCGACTTTCACAGCGGCGAGAATCTATTCGTACTTTTTGTACATGTTTTAATATGGACAATGTACTTAATTTTGTGTATTATTATTATGTTGGGGATATTTATTTGTTTTTTCGTCTGGTTGGGTTTATAGATAAAAAATAAACATATAGATATATATTGCAGATATAAAATAAATATTATGAATAAAAATAAATATATAGATATAAGTATTGTATATAATACATATATAAATAGGACCCAACCAGACGGAAGCCCTCGGCAGAGGAGTCCAAACGGTCGAGGGTTAGGGTGAAAGGGAGAGAAAACGACGTACGATGCAGGTGGTATCGAGGAGCACCGCCTTCTGCATTAGAGCTTGGAGCGTTCCGTCCCGGAGTCCCAGTCGTCTCAGATGTCTGGAGAGGCTGACTGGGATCAACCCATTCGCAGACACGACTATCGGGATAATTTCGGTCGGCACACCACCCCGCATGTCAGTCACCTCGTGAGCCAGGTCCAGATACTTCGTCTTCTTTTCTGTTTCGGCTTTCACGAGGTTTTCGTCATATGGAATGGTAATGTCGACCAAAAATACCCGCGACTGTGCCCGGTCCATTAATACGATATCAGGTTTGTTCGCGAAAATCGTCCTGTCCGTGATGTTGGGCCAGTTCCAATAGAGCCTGGCGCGGTCATTTTCGAGCACGGCCTCCGGAGGGTACTTATAGTACGGCAGTTTTCGTTCCACGAGGCCGTATTTCAGAGCGAGCTCCTGATGTAAGATTCTGGCTACTAGGTTGTGTCTATGCAGATACTCAGAGTTAGAAAGCATGGAACAACCGGAGATAACATGTCGAAGCGACTCCCCGGGATGGCGACAAGCTCGACAGATGTCGACGGTGCCATCCCTTAGGATGTATTTCCGATAGTTGTTCATCTTAATAACCTTTTGGGAGCCGGCAGGGGTGAATAATTAAGATGCAGTACAAAGAACAAGCCGTGTTGTGAACAAGAAAACCATAATCTTTTTATTGTCACTCGTTGCTATAGTAATTTGTCAATATTAGGGTAATGCTAGACCGATGAGAGTAATGGTGTAAAAGATAAGAGCGGTGCTACACAGTAGCAAATGAGTCGCCACATCACCCCCCCACGGAGAAAAATAAGTACACATTGAAAGCAAAACAAGTATAAAATGTAACAATCAAATAATTATACACTGTTATTATAAAAGTACAAGCAACATTCTTTAGGATAATTTTTACATAACTAATGGAATTTTAATTTATACAATGAAAAAATAAACATTGGACACTTAAAATTGAAAAAACTCTGCTTTAACAAATATAACGTATTAAAAACTAGTACTTATAAATCTAAAACAATGGCTCACAAGTTATTTAAAGGATCGAAAGCAGTGCACCAAAATAACAAAGATATTAAACTCGACTAAAATTAAAAATACCTCTCAGTATAGTTTTGTTAAATGTGGAGTCCCACATGGTAGTGTACTAGGGCCACTTCTATTTTTAATTTATATTAATGATTTACCGAATGCAATAAAGCACCCATGCATATTGTTTGCTGATGACACTACTATTTTGATACAAAATAAAAATAAGGACACATATGAAATTGAAATAAATAATGCATTATTTGACGTTATAGATTGGCTAAATAAAAATAATCTTAAAATTAATATAAATAAGACTAAGCTTACAATTTAAAACATATAACAGCAAAACAAAATCAATCAACATAACACATAGTGATGAAAAAGTAGAACAAGTAGATAATGTAAAATTTTTAGGAATAATTTACGACAAACATTGTAATTGGCAAGCTCATGTCGATATGATTTGCACAAGATTAGTGTTACAATCCACTGGCAACACTACTTAATATACGAGCAATAACAATTATACTTAATAAACATTGAACCATATCTGGTATAATATTATATAATAAACCATCATTAATATTAATATATAATTTAATAGGTCAATCTTATTAACTGTATTTGTAATTTAATAAGTGCATTGATTTGTAATGTAGTTGTGATGACTCATTATATTTTTGTATAAAAGCTCATAATGTTTCAGTGATAGGGTAGAACACTTTATCCTTTGTATAGGACGTTACTCTGTCCTAATAAGTAGGAAATAGTCTATAATATATAAAGTTGTTTACGCTATTCTCACTATTTTATTTTGGCCGACCAACCTACAGTCTTTAATATTAGATAAGTTTGTATATGCACTGCGTCAGCTTAGACGAACGGTTTCTAAAGAAGCAGCATTAAGCGTACCATAGTATGGTTATGTTTTTTCGGCGTTATCATATGGATTAATAATTTGGGGTAACTCAGCGTATGCAACAAAAGTATTCATAATTCAAAAAAAATGTATTAGAGCCATTTGCGGAGCGAAACCACTCGACAGCTGTAAGCCACTATTTAAAAGGTTAGGCATATTACCTCTTCCCGCAATGTATATTAAGGAGATGTGCATTATGGTGAAAAGGTATCCGAAATATTTTGAATTGAATTATAATTACAACAATAGATCCTTACGTCGACCAGAAAAACTATATGTTCCTAAATGTAACCTAAATGTATATAAAAAGAATGCTTACTTTATGTCCATAACTTTGTACAATAAATTACCGTTAGAAATTAAACAATTGCCCCTTGCTTCGTTTAAGACGAAAATAACGAAATGGCTCCTAGATAAAATGATTTATAACATAAATGGACTATTTGTTACGTAATACTGACATTTAATAATTTGACATAGGTATATATCCGTATAATAATTTTAATGTTTTAATGGAATAATTTATTATGTTTAAATGTTTTAATGTGAATAATTGTATA